TCCTCAAACTGACAAAAAATAATATTTAAAAAAAAATTCATTTGGGCAATTTAGCACTTGTCTGAGGCTGATGATGTTTTGGCTGCATACATTGGTGGGGATTTTTGAAGGGAAAATGGATGTCTAACCAAATCATTTCTAGTTAAATCATGCTTTCTTCCTCTTTGGAAAAAAAATCTTAAATTTCATTAGGCAACATAGGACCAGAAACAGGGTAACATATGCACCAACAGCAACACTCCAGTGCAGAGCAGTACCACCAGGAGAACGGTATGGGCCCCCAGGGAAATAAAAGTCTCCCAAAATGGTTCATTCCCAAAGTAAAGAAGGAAAAGGACACAGCTGAAAAGCACGTGACACTGCGGTGCGGTTTGGTGTATGGCTAATCCAGTTCACCATTGCATCTGCGTTCTGATATATTCCCTGCCTCAAATCAGTCTTCCAGTAAAAAGGAGCTTTTCTGTGTGACAAGGAAAAAATGAAAATATATGCAATATATGCAGATGCTAAAACAAGACACGATGATTTATTCCTCATACCAAACCAGGAGAACAGGATTTCACAGCAGGAGAGACTAAGAGCATGGCTTGGTTTCTCCTTTTCGTTTTGTTCCAGTGTTATGAACGTTTGTATTTAGCCCAGGTGTCTGTAGAAACTCTACTACAATGAGGGGTGTCTTTTTCCTCCCCTAAACCCCACTTCAAGACAGAACTGGTGAATTTTGGCAGCACGCCTGCACAACGCTGCCGAAAGCCGCAGCTGTTTGCACACGCAGCGTGCAAAATAAAATACACTCGCTGCACTGAGCACACAGCCTGCAAAAGGCACTTGAGATTTTCCGCTGTGGCACTTTCCGAGCACAGCTCCATCGGGAACATCAGCAGGGCGATGCCCTCATCCTCTGCTCACCTGATATATAAAAAGCTGATCCCTGTTCCTGGCTGTGTGGGGCGTGTCGGACCAAGCAGGAGAATTTCTGGTTTGCACCCTTGGTGATGATGATGCTGCTTTCCACTGCAAAGAGGCTGCTCTCATCCTGGGTAACGCTTTCCAAAAGGGATGGGAGATGCTGCCCGTGGGGATCCTGCCACAGCACCTGGGGCTGCGGGTACCAGCCCGCCGAGCGACAGGCCACCCGGATCCCCCCGTCCTGGTAGTGCTCCAGCGCGACGAGCGGGGCAGAGCCGCTGGCTGCGGGAAAAGAGAGACCCCAGGGTGATCCTGCGGGGTGCCAGATATTGGGGGAATAAGGTGCCCTGGCTGTTCCTCTCCCTGACAAAAAGGGATGAACTTTGACGCAGACAAATCCCAGGGTTTTTTCAAGACAAGTGTCATCTGGAGTCATGACATTTCTTGCAGCCTTTTTCATTTAACTCAAAGGTCTGCTCTGGAGGCTACTACTGCAGCAGAATAATCTGCAGGCCTGGATATTAAAGTATCCAAGACACAAACACAAATCCAAGACATTCTTACTATGTTACCCAATGCCAATTTTTTTCTTACACCCACTTATATGAAGAAAACAATATCAAGAACATTTCTGAAGTAGGTATAGAGTATCTCACAAGCTCCTTACGGCTGCTTGGTAAGCAATTTTACCTCTCTGAGAAGTTCTTGGTATTTTCAACACGAGGACTTAATAAAACCCTCTTTCTAAAGCAGCCACCTAAAATTGCTGCTGGGAAGAAGGGCAGGGAAGAAGAGCGCTGGTTACGAGCAAGTAAATCAGAGGTACCGGCGACACGGGCTACAGACCTGTCACCTTCAGCTCCACCACAGCCTCATCATAATCCGAGTCACGGCGAACAAAGCAGGTGTAATTCCCTCTGTCAGACAGCTGGACATGGAAAATTTTCAAGTCCACGCTGCCCTTGGCGAGGCCGTCCTTCAGCAGCTCGGTACGCCCTTGGTATTGGAGCATCTGCTCCCCGTACTGGTCCTGGCCCCCCTTGTAGCGATGCACAAAGGGTGAGAAGTGTTCCCGAAACCAGATCACCTCCGTGTCCCCAGCTCTCTGCTCTGGGGAGAAGCGGCAGGGCAACACCACGTCCTTCCCCACAGCCACGGTGATGGGGCCAGGGGGTCCCGTCACATTGAGCGGAGCTGGGAGAAACGCCCAGAGGAAGAAGAAATAACCATGAGTTTGCTGTGTTGACTGAACTTGGAAAACCAGCAGATGCTGCTTCGCATTGTTCGTGTGCTGTCACGCCGTGCCATTGCGTTGGGAGTGTAACCGCGCTGGGGGGACGCGGCGTTGAGGGGAGGGTTGGGAGAAGGACCTCTGCCATGCAGCACGGTAAGTGGGCTGGGGTGAGGCCACCGCCTGTCCCTCTGCTTCCCTGTCCTGCGCTGCTGTGAAAGTTCTTCAGATTCCTAAAAGATTATTTGTTCTCACGGGGACAAGTGCTGCCCATGCTGCTCAGGGAGGGGACAAAGCAGAATAGAGAAGGAAGGAAATGGCTGGAAGGTTTCTGGGTGGTTGGCTGGAGAAAGCAGGCAACTTGGGTACAAACAAAACTCAAATATCCTCAGCTATTCATACCTATTACAAGAGAAAATAAAAATGTCTCAGGTGCTCTAGACATCTTTGGAAATCTTTAAAAAAGGCTTATTAATAAGCTGGTCACTCAACTTACAGAGAAAGTGATTTCTGGTTGAAGGTAAACAAAAGGAAATTAACTTTTTTTTTGGCAAGGTAACTTTCAAGTCAACTGTTGTGCTGCGTCCTTTTACCAGGTCTGCCTTGAAGAAGTTGCTTCAGGTCAGCAATCTAACAGAAAAAAAGCCCAGAATATTTTTTAAAAGGTTTTTGTTCTTTTTCCCCTTTATTGAATTGGTTCTGCAAAGGGTCCATTGAAGCGATGACATGTTGGGAATGTGCTGGGAACATGCTGGGAACATGCTGGGAACAGGGAAAGCAGGGAGGGAAACGGCAGCAAACTACAATCAACTCATCAGCATCGTCTAATCTCCACCTGAGTTCAGCAAGGTTGTGCCGATTGCCTGCGCTGACGTGGCCAGAGGGATAACCCCGGATGCAGAGGGATAACCCAGGATGCAGAGGGATAACCCCGGATGCAGAGGGATGCTGGTGCCTTCAGAAGTGGACAAGGTTTACGGCAAAGGGCCTGACCCTGCTCTGTGCTCTGCCATTCACGGGGAGTAGCTGCACTGGCAGCCGGGAAGATACTCAGGCTGGAAGCAATGCCACAGGGATCAGCAAGGGCCGGGGGGATCCCTACCTGACTTCAGCTCGTGAGCTTGGAAAACTAAACCAAAAATGATAAAAGCCGGCAGAGAGCAGCGGGGATGGAAACTGGAGAGCATCCTCTTCGCTGCTGCACAACCTGGAGATGGGGAAGAAAAGGGAAAGGGCAAAAGGGAGGAGAAACAAGGGAATACAAAATAAAAGGCAGAATTCACATTTAAAGGGGTTTATTGCTGATGCAGCCCCTTTTTATAAGGTCTAGGGAAGAGCCTCAGATGCCGAAGGTTGAAATCGATTTTCCACCATCAGCCTGACTTTGCCTGGTGTTTTACATACAAAATACCTAACTGGTATAAAAAAGTTATGGAATTTCCCACAGGGAAAAAAAGGACAACCTGCAACACCTCTAATTCCACTAAAAAGTGGCAGCTGTTTTAATATGGAGCCCTTGCTTTTCTTATCCTGCCCTAAGAAAGAGATGGAAAGGCGCAGGATGAGGAGGAGAAACCCAGATGGAATGCATGTGGAACTGGGGCTGCATGTTCCTCCTCTGGGACAAATTTGGGACTGAGTTGCAGCACATCCCCTGCCACCACGCTGGGGGCAGGAAGCGGTCTCAGACCAGGGAAAGCAAAATAATAAAAACACTAATTCAAAACCCAGCCAAGATGGGACCCGGCCCTGCTCTGAACCCCCCTGAACCCTCTTATCACTCGCAGGCTTAGTCCCAGCTTTGTTAAGAAGAGGTAAAAACTGCGGCCAGTTTTGGCAGATGGCAGAAAGCCATTTCAATCTGCAGCTTTCCGAGAGACGCCACGTACCTGGAGGCGAGCTCTTTCGTGGGCCCGGGGCAGGAGCTGCTCGGCTGTCACCCGGCGCATCTGAGCTAAGCGTTTCCGTGTCCAAAAACCGAACAAAAACGTCACTCTGCGTCCCAGCCTACCACCCATTTCCTCCTGCACTGCCTCTGCTCAGAAATGAAAGTCACTGAGTGATTTGGGGGTTTTTTTGCAATGCTTTTGCTCCGGAAATGCTCTTCTGGCAACATCTACAGGCACGTCCCTGCAGGGACTCTCCACGGCTGCGTATTGCAGCCTTCTCCCGCGGCTGTCCCCGGACTGGGGAGGGGATGGATACCGGCAGTGGTTTGCACGTCCCCCGGGAAGAGCCCGGAGGCAGCAGTGGGATGGAGGGAGGTGACGGAGCCAGGATTCACACCCAGAGGCAGCGCAGGGTTGGGAGGAAAGCCCAGCACTAGCTTAAAAATTGCTTAAAAGCAATTCCCCCTCCCCCAGCCAAGAGGCGAGTCCATGGAGGATGTTCGGGGAAAGCTGCTGCCCTGGGATGTGTCACGAAGACAGCCCCCACGGGTGCTCAGCCCAGGCGCATCCGGCACCCTCCCATCCCCAGCCAGGAGCACACGGGAGCTGAGAGCATCTGCCTGGGTAAAGGGACCTGATCAGAGACCTTGCCAAAAGGGATGACAAGGAAAAGAGGGAGGCGATAAATGAAGCATACAGAGACACAGACCTGGCCAAAAAATGATAGCGGAGATAAGTATAATAAACCAACCTCATCACTGGTGCTAATTGCTGGGCTATCACAAATCTGCAGGCATCATTTCAGGCAGGGCCAGCCTGGCTCTTCTGACTGTAAGGATGCAAAGCTGGGGGTCCCAGACACCGGGGGGTGTCGGTGGAAGTATGTGAACAGCTACAGGCATGTGCAGCAGAAGGGAATCAGGGAGGACAAGGTGGGGGACAGGCAGAAAGGGGTATAAAAGGGCCCGGTCATGGGTAAAACAGAGCCAGTCAGTGCGCCCGGCTGGCTGGTGAGTCGGAGTCTGGGGGAGTTCAGGCAAGCAGCGGGTCCACACGTTTACCTTCATTGCTGGTTGACCCTGCAGATGGAGGTTCAGCCGCGGCCCCCACCGTGCCATGCCCACGCCGCCACGCGACAGCAGTCCCTGGCTGGATAGTCCCTGCGGAGCCGCTCCGCCCCGGTCCTGCCTTCCTGCGCCCCTGCCCCAGGGCCAGGCAGCAGAGCCATCCGGCAGCAGGTCCCCTCGTACTCTGCTTTATTTTGTGCACAACTGGTGGCTTTCAGAGTGGTGTGGCAAAGCAGAGTGGGTGCCACCTCCCAAGTTCCCTACGAGCAGGGGTGAGGCCATCGCCCCTGGGCACAGGAAAAGCTGCCTGGAGAACAGAGAGGTGGGATGCAAAGTCCAGCACCCGCTGTCCCCCATTTACCAGTTGAGCAAACGAAGCAACACGTGCCCTGCAAGCATCTCCACTCTGAAACCCATGGGCAGCATGACAAATCTGGGCAAGCGGTGCCTGTAAGGAGCCAGACCTCTCCCCTCACCACAGTACGCAGCCTGGACACCCAGAGCATAGCCACCGGTCTGTGGCTGGTGTTCCCACACCACACCCCACTGGGCTGGAGCTGCACATGGTGCCGCTGACCCAGGAGGTCTCTGAGCATCCTGCCACAGGAAGATAACAGCCTCCTCCAGCGGTGCAGCAGCCTCTTATCACCCACCCGCAGCTGGCCAAAGGGAGGGAAGGTGTGGCAGATCCTGTGATGCGAACAGGACGGGGGCACTGCAGGAATGGGAGCAGCGAACTCCCAAGTTCAAGTGTTAGATGAGGTCACAGGCCTGCCAGCAGTTTCAGGGCATGGGAGGTGGTTGCCAAGAGGCGGGGAGGTGACAGCCCCAGTGGTGTGGTCTCCCACAGAGAGGCGAAGGTGCCGGACTCCCAGCTGTGCTCTTCAGGCCAACCAGCCCTCTGGACTTTGATCTGCTCAAACAACCTGGAAATGTTGTGCAAGCCCAGGCCAGCCATGAGCTGATGAGGGAGTAGAGAGCAGGCTGAAGACCTTCAGACCCATCCAAAACCTCCCTTCCTGGAGTGAGCCTGAAGGTGAGTGCTGGCTGTCTAAAAAGTGCCTGAACACTGTGACTTTTCCATCATTCCTTCTGCTTTTTCATAATCTTTAGGTGGTGTCTGAGTCTTGCAATTTCCACTTTCAACAGGGAACCCTGCCTCCCCCCCGTTGATTTTCTGCAGACACGCTGGCATCCAGGACAGAGAGAGAAGGGAGGGAGACCCTGGCCAATCAGGTGGAAGAGATGAGTGGAAGAGGTGAGTTTTTAGAAGGGAAAAGGAGGGGGAACTGTCCTCTGTTGAGGAGAAAAATGCACCCTGCTTCTGCTGTGGAAGAGCTATTTAGAGTCAAAGCACCTGGGGCTTGCCCCAGCCTAGGCTTGTCATGGGGTTGAGACCTGGTGGCTGCAACGTCCCCAGATGACTTCCTCGTGCTGTAGACCCACCACCAACACGAAAGACACCTGAGCTGCCATCCTTGGCTCCCTCCATCACTCACAGAATGAAACAGGAATTTGGGGTCCCGGGGTAATGTCTGTTGCACTGGTTTGTACCTAGATGTGCCTGTTTCACTCTTGCATCACTAGAGACACCCAGGTTCAGGTCCAGGTGTCTGCACAGCAGATGTGCACCCATCCACTCAGGTGCATCCTCCTCTGGGAAATTGGGGTCTCCTTGGCTATGGATTGCATGGAAGCTCCTGGATCAGGAGCAGGGGCAGGATCAGGGCAGCACTGACATTGGGGCAGCCCAGCACAAGGGGACTTCCCACCCCATGCTGGACATCTCTGGACAGGGGAAAAAGGAAATCACCTTGTCCCTTCTCTTGCTGGGGTGTGTGTAGCCTTGATGCACCCCTGGGGCTGCCTGTCCTGAGCAGCTTCTCCTCTTCTGTCCCCAGCCGATGTGACCCTGGACCCAGACACTGCCAACCCCTTCCTCATCCTGGCTGGTGACCAGAGAGGCGTGAGACGGGGAGACGCGTGGATCTCGCTGCCCAACAATCCTGAGCGGTTCGACACAGAGCCATGTGTGCTGGGCAGCCAGGGCTTCGCCACAGGGAGGCAATGCTGGGTGGTGGAGGTGGCTGAGGGGGGGGCCTGGTGGGCTGCGGGTGTGGCCCAAGAGTCTGTCAGGAGGAAGGGGGTCCTCAATTTTACCCCCCAGGAGGGGATCTGGGCTGTGGGGCAGTGGTTTGGACAATACCATGCTTTCACCGACCCTGACTGGACGCCCCTGCGCCTTGCCTGCCTCCCCAGGGCCATCCAGATCTGCCTGGACTTTACAGACAGGCAGGTGGCATTTGCTGATGCAGAAAATGAAGCCCCAATCTTTGCTTTCTGCCTGGCTTCATGTCCTGGGGAGACGCTACGCCCATGGCTCTGGGTGGGGATGGACTCGTGGCTCAAACTGTGCTCCTGACATGGAGGGCGCGTGGGTGGCAGAGGGGAGACGAGAAAGGCGAACACCATCATCTTGGGTCTTGGTGCCAGGAACTGCGGGGGGAGGTCCTACATCTTGCTGGTTTCTCCTCACATGGCTCCTCTCACCACCAAGTGGGAGGACCGGCAGGTCCTGGAGATGGACACCAGCAGGGAGCTCCTTCATCCCCTCCACCCCACAGCTGGGACTGCAGAGACAATGGGGAGCACCGAGGTTCGGAGCATGGAAGAGCTTGGTGCCAGATGGCCCTAGGGCAGAGAAGTGGCATCAAGTGCTGGGGCACTGCAGAGCTGTATAAGGCCATGAAAAATATAGCAGGTTCAAACTCTTTAAAAGGTGCTGGAGTAGCGTCCCTGGATTTTTTCAATTAAGCTTAATCATTAAGTTAAAAAAAACAAGCCGCAAAAACATAGCTAGATGCTGGAGCTCACGATAACACTTATCTTCTCCGTACATTTTAAAGCCTCTCCTTGCCTTATTTCCAGTTCTCACTGACATGTGCATTAAGCACATTTCTTACAGCAGAGCACTAGTAAAAGCTATAGCGACAGCCAAGGAAGGTAAGCAAGAAATTGAGAAGTGTCTGAAATCCAGGGACAAGCCAGTTCCCACAGATCTGCCATTCCCTGATCTCCCTCTGTCAAGGTCTCCTTTTCCTCACATAGACTAGACTAGACTAGTTCAGGTGGAAGGGACCTACAACAATCATCTAGTCCAGCTGCCTGACCACTTGGCTGAGCAGAAGTTAAAGCTCGTTATTAAGGGCATTGTCCAAATGCCTCTCAAACACTGACAGGCTTGGGGCATTGACCACCTCTCGAGGAAGCCTGTTCCAGTGTTTGAACATCCTCTCGGTAAAGGAGTTCTTCCTACTGTCTAGTCTGAACCTCTGTCATGGTTTAACCCCAACCGGCAACTAAGCCCCACGCAGCCACTCGCTCACTCCCCCACAGTGGGATGGGGGAGAGAACGAGAAGTGAGAAAATCATGGGTTGAGATAAAGACAGTTTAATAAGTAAAGCAAAAGCCGCAAGCACGAGCAAAGCAAAACAAGGAATCCATTCACCACTTCCCACCGGCAGGCAGGGCTTCAGCCATCTCCAGGGAAGCAGGGCTCCATCACACGTAACAGTTACTTGGGAAGAGAAACGCCATCACTCCAAATGTCCCCCATTCCTCCTTCTCCCCCCAGCTTCATATGCTGAGCATGATGTCATATTGTATGGAACATCCCTTTGGTCAGTTGGGGTCAGCTGTCTTGGCTGTTTCCTCCCAGCTTTTTGCACACCCCCAGCCTACTTGCTGGTGGAGTGGGGTGAGAAGCAGAAAAGGCCTTGGCTCTGCGTCAGCATGGCTCAGCAGTCACAAAAACAGCCCTGTATTACCAACACTGCCTCCAGCACAAATCCAAAACTAGCTACTATGAAGAAAATGAACTCTTCCCCAGCCAAAACCAGCACAACCTCCCCTGGCGCAGCTTTGAACCATTCCCAGGCATCCTGTCCCTGGATCCCAGGGAGGAGAGAGCAGCGCTCCCTCTCCACATCCCCTCCTCAGGAAGCTGCAGAGAGCAACGAGGTCACCCCTCAGCATCCTTTTCTCCAAAAAAGACAAAACCAGAGTGCTCAGCCGCTTCTCAGAGGACATGCCTCCCAGCTGTACATCTGCTCCAGAGAACTGGTATTTTTGGGAAATAACATTCAAAGGACATGCTAAACCTGGAAAAGGTGTGGGGGGGTCCCCACTCCCAGGGACCTTGCTTTGTCCTCTCCTGCTAACTCCTGCTCTTAGGAGAGGAAAAGGTGAATGTAGGCAAAAGGGAACATCACCTGGGTCCAGTCTAGATTTCATCTTCTCCAGCCACATTGCTGGTTGGACCCTCTTAGTGCCAATTCAGTTGTCACCGTTGTGGTGGCAGCTGGGCATAGGCAAAAGCATTGGTCTCCCTGATCTATTCCAGTAGCTGGAAAGAGTTGCAGCACCAGATCAGGCATAGATATCCTGATCTGGTATTAGGGCACGGGCTCACCAATCTCTCTGGAACTGTACGGGGACAGATGACATCCTATTGTACTCTGCACATCTGTGGGACCAGCAATCCAGCAAAGTAACCCAGGGGACCACCCAAGGAGCCAATCCCAAAACTCATGCTCCTGACAGAGCACAGAAGAGGGGCAAATCCTGGCAGGAATGGATAAGGTCTCCAGATGGCTGCCCACACCTCGGTGCCAGCACATCCTCAGCTCCTGGTGCCAATGCTGACGTTGTGCCTGTGCAGGAAGAGGGAAAGCTTAACCCTGCTGGGGCCATGGCTCTGCATTTCCATGAGCACACTAGGAGGAAGGCAAGATCCCACAGCCAGAGCATGAAGGCAACTGGGTACGTGTCTGGGAAGAGCTAGAATCAAGCCCTGCAGCAGCACCACAGCCAAACCCAGCACGGTCCCCATGCGCTTCTGGCCAAAGAGCAAGAAGGGGTGGGCTTCACCCTTGAGCAAGCAATGACTTTCACAGATGCTTTTTCACAACACCCCTTTCCAGAGGTTGTATTAAGCATCCTAGGCAGAGTTTCTGTTTGTAGCATTGTTTCTCTTCACTGTTCTTTGAATCCCTCCCCTCTGCTCCAGCCCCCAACCTCCCTTTCACAGGTGAGCTTTTTCAACAGAAGTAGATGGAGCCAACATGTTTAAAGCCCTTCTTATCTGTCAGCAAGGTCTTGTGGGATGGGATTTAGTTTCACATTTGTTTGACCAGCATTTGAATTTATTTATATAACTTTGGTTATTCATATTTTTCGCTTTTAACATGCAATGCCACAAATCCTGACAGTTCTACAAACCAGCAAGTCTCAAACCAGCAATTCCTACAACCTCTAAACTTCAGCAAATGCCTGGTATTAGCTTTTTGGCTGGTGAAGATCTAAACGTCTTTCCAAGACCCTCATCACAACCAGAGAAACAAACTGAATAGTCAAACATTGAAGAATTATCAGGTACACTACTGTGTTAAAAAAGCAGCGATTATAATTCCACCTACAAAATTATTTGGAAACATAAATCCTACTAGCACCTCCCAAAAAGATTAATATCTACTTGTGTTTTCTTGAACTAATACAAGAATCAAATCAGGCCAACCACAGAGACTAATACATGGAGGCTGCTCAAGCTTCAAGCCTACAGAGCATCACCCCACGGCCAGGTGGGCTGCTGAGTGAGGTTTCATCCTCCTTACCCATCTGCCTATTTCCTTAAGTAAAAATATACCATCACCAGGCACTCCAGTGTCAATGCTATGCCCCACAGTCCTCCTCATGGCTCCTGTCTTCACCTACAGCCCTGCTCTAAGCCTCTTCCACTGTGGTGGGACCAAGGTGGAGGAAACCCATGGATCTCCGCTCCCAGTAAGACTCTCCACACGCAGGCAGACAGGAGTTCAACAGCCTCCGAGGCTCAGAGCAGAAGGATTGTAGATGGAGATGGCAGAAAATCCGTAAGCATATGGGAGTCCCCAAGGACTATCCAGATAGGGATGCAGGAGGGCAGGATGGCCACAGCAGAGCCTCCTTCAACGCACACACCTCTTCAGGTCTCAGGACACAGTTTGAGCTGGGACCCCTTACGCACCCAGAACCAGGGGCGGATTCGCTCCCCTGCAAACATGGCTCGCAGGAAAGTGAAAATCACAGCCTTGCTGTCCGCGTTGACAAACACCACCTGCCCCCCTGCATGGTCCAGACAGACCCGCACCCTCCGGGGGACCATGCTGGGGAGGATAGGGGTGGGAGATGGGGAAGTGAGAGCCTGGAACTTCTCCTTATACCACTCCGCTGCCCAGATACCCCCCATGGGGCTCATGTCAATCAGTCCCTTCCTCTTCACAGACTCCAGAGCCACCCCCACAGCCCAGCATGACCCACAGACCACATCCACCTCCCAGCATAGTCGCCCCAAGTCGAATCCTTTGCAGTCCAGCACACAAGGCCACAGGTCAAACCACTCTGGGTTGTCAAGCCGGCTCTGCTGTGTGGCTCCCTGCATCACAATTCTCTGATCTTCTGACAAGATGAGCCAGGACTGAGCTGTGTCTGGATCCAGAGTCACGTTCACTGCAAGAGAGTGACGTGAAGAAACAAGGGGTAGAGATCAGTCCTGGGAAGAGTTTCACCATGCTGTGTCCATGTTTGGTCCTGGCTTGGGAGAAAACCTGGAAATAATTTTCTTCCAGAATGTGCCTAGCTCAAAATGGGGAGCAGTTCTGTGCCCTGAGCCAAGGCATATGAAGATCTACTGTACCCCAAAACATGCGTTGCACTCCTCACAACCAGGGTTAACTGGAGGAGGCTCCCCAGCAGAACTCACCTTTTGTGTACGGTCCCTGTGATTCCACCACTCCCCTCCTTGTGTCAGTTGTCAAAGCATCTGAAAGATGGAGCCCAGAGGTCATCTCCAATGTCTGGATAACACCACCAAACACCACTGGGAGGTGGTTTGTGGAGACCAGCTCCAGGGAGCTAGTGGGCAGAGATATCGCATCCTTCCTTCCCCAGTGCACATGCTGCTTGCTGCACCTGCCAGCTTCTCCAGTTGAAGCAGGAAGGAAGAAACCTAAAAGGAGCAGGAGCAAAAGAATTTGGCGCTACCTAGCACAAGATGGACATGGACATACTGCAGCACGTCTAGAGGGTTACCAAGATGGATTGACGACTTGTGAGATCTTTGTCTTCAGAGATATTCAGAACTCATATGGAGAAAACACAGAGCAATCCCACCTAGTGGTACCTGCTTTGAGCAGAGGTTTGGACTAGGTGACCTCTAAAGGTCCTTTCCAGCCTAAATTTCCAGCCCAAATTCCTCTGTCTGGCAGTTATCTCAATCACTTCTTTGGGGATGAGCCTCCTCATTCAGAGAGCAGGAGCTGAGAATCATTCAGGCATATTGGGACATCTGAGACTTGTTCACATTCCTGATGTACTTCCAACCATGGAGCAGGTCTGGAGCACAAATCTAGAGCAGAAGGAGCTGTGGCAGCATCCAAATCAAGTGTTGCACAGAGTGTTGAAACAAGTTCACATGCAAAGCAATTTATTAGTGGGCTCCATAGCTGATGATGCGAATCAACACTAGTGTCAATTATTCTTCTGGGGAAAAATAAAAGCAAAGGGAGATCAAGAGAAAGAGCAGAAGCGGGGGAGGAAAGGGAACACCCTCCCGCTTTAGCTGGGACACCTCTCCAATGCTTACACCCTTCCAATGCATCCCTGGGGCAGGATATGCTACACAAGGATATTCAGCTTTTTCTCCCTTCTGCAGGGCATTGACTACCCCCTTGTTTCCACCCCCGGGATGCTTCTCCTGCGAGATCCCTTTTGTACCTTGGGGTTTTCTTGCTGTCTCGTCTAATGTGGGAGCTTTTTCTGAGCAGATGCTGGGCTTCTTCTTCAGCTCATGGCTCATCCGCTCCTTTTGCTGGACTTTTGCCCTCTCACACCTGGAATCGTACAAAACACAGCATTTCTATTCCTCCTTTAAGTCAGTCTCCTGTTAGTGCCAATTGCTAGAAGGCATTTTCCAGCCGAGTTAATACCCTCCAGAAAGTTCATTCCAGTTTGGTGGTGGGTTTTTTCTGGTTTGGGTTTTTTGTGTGTGTGGTTTTGAGGGGGTTTTGGTTGGTTTTGGTGTGGTTTTTTGATGGTGTTTTGTTGGGTTTTTTTTAAACATAAGAGCATCAACGAGAAGAGATAGCAGGTCTCACTGGCTAGGTCACTACTCTGTCCTGATGCTCTAATTGCCAATTAAATTTCTATTATGAGTGATGGTCCTGGTGGCCCCAGTCACCCTGTCCCTTCAGAGCAAACTTGCATCACAGCCAGGTGCTGAAGGCCTGAGCCAAGGGCACTACACCCCAGTCTCTATGCCTTAATGTCACTACACATCAGTCATGGAGAAGCCAACCATGCTTGCAACCAGAGATCTTAGAAATGAAATGTCCTCCTTGAATATTTCCCCAGGAACAGACTTTCTTGGCAGATTCATACTGGTTCATCAGCCTTTGGAACACTATGAACATCAGTGGGGCACCCCTGGTATTTGAGGTATCCAGCTTTGTTCTGGGACAGGAATCTTTGCAACCCCAAAGCAGCAGTGTGATGTAGAGGAGAAAGCAACACATATCTGCCCAAAACTTCACCAGCATCCTAGAAGTGAGAAACAGAGAAGCAGCTGAGTGCTACTTATCCTGCACACACATTCCTCACATTCCCCTTACACAGTGAACGGACACACCAGCAAGGTAAGATTAATACAATAATCAAGGTAAGATTAGCCCTCACATGTTTCTGATTTGCTAGTGCCTCATGTGTTGTCTGCCAAGAGAACACTGGTGTTTCAGCAGACCTCACCTGCAGGGACTCCTGTCCTGAGAGCTCTGAGAGCTGACACTCCTTCTCCTTGATCAGCCCATCCAGATAAATAATCTTCTTGGAGAATTTAGCAGCATTTTCTTTCAATCTTGTTTTAATCTTCTTCTCCAGCTCTCCCAGCCGAGCCAGCAGCAGGCACTCTTGTTCTTCCAGGTACTGTCGCAGCTGTTTAAATTCAGGCACAATCTTCTGCCTCTCCACCTTCACTTTTTCCTTTACAAACAGAAACAATCCTCTCAAGGAAGGGTGGGACCATGAAACGGGACAAGCAGCAATTAAAAGCATGCACAGTTTTTACTTTCTGGTGCAGACCATGACAGTGATTCCCAGGGTGCTTATCATGTACCAACAGCTGGATACAACGATTCAATCTCCCAATTCCAAAGGTCAAGAATCAACCTTTCTTCACTCTCCTCAGATGAACTTCTTTCCAGTAGCACCATGCACCTACCAGATAGTCATGGCACACCCATTGCTCCTTCTTTTGCTCTTTCTCCAGTTCTCCTTTCTCTCTCCTGAGGCTCTCCAGCTGTGACTGTATTTGCTCCTGGAAGAAGAGACATCCTTTAGGAGCTCCCCACCACCCACATGTACACTTTGTGTCCATAAAACAGTCTGTTCCCTGGGTTGGACATAAGCAGGCTCTGGCACAGAGTTAGCCTCTGGACCTGTGGGTCCAGGATGCTTGCAGGGGTTGGTGTGACTGGAAAGCGATGAGGGAACATGGAGCAGAAGGGGACTGGGGAGGAACAGAGGAGGAACAGGCAGAAAGGGGTATAAAAGGGACTGGTCGGGGTAGAACGGATCTGGTCGGTATACTTGTCTGACCCAGCCCTGCGCCTGATCACTGCAGTCTACCCTACCTTCTCATTAAATCCTTTCTTAACTATCTTTTTGCATGATCTCTCGGTATCCCGTGGGTGCAAGCGCTGCAAGGGTGAAGTGCCAGTTACTCGGGGGAGCAGCACGAGTGGATTTGGTGGCAGCTACTGCAGTCAGATGCGGGTTGCAGGCACTTGTGGTCTCAGCTCCTGGAGTCAGTGGGGTCTCACTGCAGCTGCTGGAGCAGGTGGGGGTCCTCAATGCCAGCCACTGTGTATGGGAGGGTGTGCGTCCCCAAAACCAGCTACTGGGGGGACTGGTGCAAGTGAGGCGCTCAGCACTGGCAGCTGGAGCTGAACCACAACCCACCTGCCTGGATAGAATCTCCATGGAGTCAGATGCCAAAAGTCAAAATAATATTAGAGGCAGATTACAGTCGCCATCACCGCCCTGGTCTGGAGGGCAGCAACACGCCAAGGAACACTGGAGGGCCCAGCAGGGCAGGAAATTAGTGTCATATAGACAAACTGCACAACACAGCACTGAGGACAGACTCCCATTACCCTTATGAAAAGTTGATGAATATTATGGCGAGCCACAAAGCATGGAAAAGGG